ACTGGGCGGTAAATGGTTGCAGAAATTGGTTCGCTTAATTAAGCCGCCTAAGCACCTTGACCGATTTGCGTTGTTGGTTTCGTATCTGTGAGATACGAGTACGAGTACGTACCAACATTTCTGCTGCATCACACTCCCGACAGGTTTTGCTAGTTTTAGTTTTTCCTTTATTTTTATTTATTTTTTGGAGCATTTTTTGGGTCAACGAGCGTCTGTTTTGAGAACAGAACTCATCTTGAAGTGTCATGCTGCTCCCGTTCTAATGCGGTCGGCCATGTTCTATTTGCTTAGCTGGCTATCAAAACTTTTGACTTGCCGTTTCGTCTATCTAATTGCATGTGTAAACGGTAAACAGGTAAACGCACACGTATCTGACAGATACATTTCGTCGCGCCCGTTTACTGTGCATTTGCATGGTGACTGCCTTCTCCAGTAACTAACGGTGTGCGGAACGCGTTTGCTTCGCCTGTTTTCGGTTTCAATTTATTCGCAGGCCTGTCCCGCTCTCTGGAGTGCCATGAACTCAATTATTTTTGCAATTATTTTTATGATTGTACAGTTTTTGTCTGAACCTCTTGGTTGTTGTTCGTTTTATTTTTGTTTTTGTGTTTTTTTCTTCTCATTTCCCCTGCCATCAAGTTCTATTAAATTTCAAAGCGTTTTTTATTTCCTCTGGATGATTTTATTTTTCTATTTTTTGTAGGTATAATTTAGTTTTTTATGTCATAATTGGAGCTGTGCGTCTCAGGGTCATTGAAAGCCGTGAACAATGCTCAGGTTTATATTTACTGAGCTCTGTCATTGAAGTTGCGACCTCTCTATTATTGTTACGTTCTTCATTCAATTAATCAGACTGCACGCCTGCCCTCAATTGAAATGTCAACACTCAATCGTGCGAGTCTAGAGTTGAGCATTTGTCGAGACTTAGTACTGAGGCCAATTCAAGAACTGACATAACAGCCAGTCTGTAAGCATGTCCACCCGCCTACCCACCATCGCCTTCTTCAATACAAGCACTCCGAAGTAGGTCAATCGGCAGCATTTATCTGTATCTTGAAGCAGCATCGGTACAACTTCAAGCCAAACATGGAGTTTGCGCTTATTTGACCAATTTCGATACGGTATACGCTCGATAGGGGAAGCTCTAGGGTATAGCTTTTGTCACTAATAGCCACTGACAATACCCTGTGGTTCCACCTATTCAAACGTCCGTCTGTATGAACTGCGAGTGCTTTTGAACCAGAACAGCTAGGAACATCAGACTTCGGCTATAGACTTGCTACAACTATATGCAGGCAAAGTCTATTACAAAACTGATTTGAACAGACTATTTCATATAGTCGTAGCACCAATCGGAGCGGAGAATTCCTTTTTGGTAAAAGAAACCCCTTTTGAACAACAAAACAGAGTTAACAATTGATTAGCCGATACTTCGTTAGAAATTATACAATTTTACGAAGCTTCCATTATATACATACGTGAAGTGGATCTTTCACAGTTTACATACAAGTATGTATTATTCCATACATATGTATGGAAAGCCCTCAGGATACACGCGACACCCTGAAAAAGAAAGGCATTTTCAAAAACATGTCATATACTGATAACTACAATTCAGTTCTCATGTTATACACCTTTTGGTATAAACAGTTTCGAATTTATTAATAAACACCTCGAAAGACCATGCTCGTACATTTTGTTACTGCAGAGACTGTAATTCGTAAATGCCTCGCTATGGAGGAGTAAATAAAGAATACGTGTAGCTGCAATGCACGTAAACTTCAGAGCAATGCCATAAATATTTACTGCAAAAGGCGTTTGTTTATTATGTAAACAGGTTAATAAACCTATACATTGCTTTATTTTTAATAAAGAGGTTCAATGAGCTGCCAATAAGGAGCGTGTACTGTAGCTTTATTATTTTTCGCTAGATTTCTTGCGGGTACTTGTCAGCGATGGCTGTGGTTGTAGCTGTTGCTTTTGCTTTTGCCGTTGTGTTGGACCTTTCGTTTGGCTTTTTAGTTAAACCGGTTTCACTTAAATGGCGCACTGAAGTTGCACTGAAGTACGAAAAGTGGTTTATGTGTTCAGCTCAAAGAGTCAGTCGGCCAAGCAGGCAGTCAGCCAGTCAGGCAGTAGTTGAGCAGCCTGTGCCTGTGCCTGGGCCCAGCTAGAGCGCTCAAGAAACCAGTTTTGAATCGCCCTTTTATGTTAACCACCTTCCTACCCACATATGTGCCCCTCTACGCCTTAATTTAGACATCTGTGTGAGTACTTGTATAAAAAGTTTTATCGAGCCTCTGACTTGTTTGTTTCGATCACGCTCCGATAGAACTTTCGAGGGGTCTTTCGCTTATTGCACATTTATACAATTATTTTATGTAAATTATAGGGTTCCATCGATCTTTTTACTTACTGCTTTAGCCGCCTTCGCTCCACTGCCCACTCACTTCCTGTCCATCATGAGGATGGTGATTAGCCAAGTTTACGGGCCCATTTGTGCCTCGACCTCGACTGAAAATTTATGGCTTCATTTATTTTTCGCCCTGTTGTCGTCTCTCACATTTTATTCAATTTTTAATTGCCCCATAAATGCGAACAATAAATCTCGGCTCATTTGCATTCATGGTTGTGCAAAAACTGAAAACTAAACTAAAAGAAAAACCTGCGCAATTTTTCTTACACAAATAAAAATGCCACAAGTTTTTCCCACAGGCACAAAGCTGGCAAATCAATCGCCGCCCCCGTAGCCTGCCCTGATTTAGTTCTTCAACATTTTTCACCTTTTTTCCTTCTTCTTCATCTTCTGTCTCCCCCTCTGTCCGTTTCACTTTTGTTTATTATTCTGGCTTCTTTATTCGATGTTTCGCTTTGTTTTGGCTGTTGTTACACTTTACGAAAGTGATTCGAGTTTATAGGTCCGATCGTACAGTGGTTACAAAACTGATATACGAGTAGTTCGAAAATTTTTGTTAAGCTATAGATTATCCGAAGCTACATTAAGCTGCAGCCGACAGGTGACAATAATTTTAGATGTAAAGCCTTCTGCCGATGTAAAAAATGGGTTTAAAAAATGTGTGGGCTACTGATAGGTTATTAAATTAAATATAAATGTCTGCTCTTAATATTACCAGACTTTAACCGCTGATATGATACATTTTTCTTAAACAGAAAACCCTATTCCTTTGGGTATAGTTGTAAGTATAATTTCTTGCATTAAGTCTTTCTTAGATCATTTTATTTTCATATCCAAAATTAAGTACGATAAGCATTTGTAGATTATTCTAAAAACTATATACCTCAATAAAAGATATAGAGCTTTGATTAACATTCCTGTTTCTATTGTATAATGAATCTTGATATTCAATTTTTATTTCGTTCGGTGCTATCTGAATTTGGAACCACTGTGGTCCATTGCGATAAAACAAAGCAGAGTCAGGCCCAACCACAGGCAGTTCCCCCGCTCCCTCAAGTGGAAGTCATTTAAGTGCAGACAACGTCGCACATGCCGCCCTCACTATGTCCCCCCTCCCCCACTACTGTCGACTGCTTGCCACACTCGAGTGCGGCTGCCGCAGGTTTTAATGTATGCGCCTAATTTACATTGCCACTGAGTCGATTACGACAACTCCAACATACGATGCCGACGTCGATGGCCAAGCCAAGCCAAGCCAAAAGCCGACAGAAAAGAGCCAACAGCCAACAGGCAGGAGGCAAGCGACCGACTGACTGAGCGATTGCGATTGCAGCTTGGCTCAAAGAGCGCGTCAAGCAAATGTTGCACGTCCGACGCTTTTGTCTGCAGCTCAATATTTCTTGTTGTTGTTTCTTGCGCTTTTTTACGCTTCTCGTTGCGCTCGCTGCCATCGCACAAAACAGTCGCCGCCGAACTTTGAGACGCGTCGCAACCACAGCCCCAAGAGCCCCCAAGAGTGGCACTTCGATAGAGACACTTGTGTGATTCATTCATTCCACATACTACGTGCATAATTGGATTTGCGTTCTGTTTCCCTGCCAACATATATATATACAAATATAAATACATAGACTTGTTATTCCGCATTAAGTTATTGATTTGCGTCATAAGTGTGTTGTGAGCCACGTTATTGTTCAGTGGTTGTTGTTATGGAGAACATTGTGCCAGTTGCCGAATTTCAAAAGATCAAGCTGCGACCAGTGCCAAAGGTTAAGCGACGTGCGCCGCAGCCACCGATTAGTCTAAAACTGCATAAACATGTGGTAAAGGACACTTTAAGACAGGACCCCTAAACCATTAGTGCCCTCAGCAATGAAAGGCAGTTCTTTGTAAAGAATTCTTAATACTTTAAATAAGATCTGCATTGCTGGGCCGGTGCCTGTGTAGATTTGTAGCTTTCTAGATCATTCGTGTTTCAGTAAATATCCTATTCAGGAACTTAACTTAACAGTGAAGAAAACGCTTAATTCGTTAAATTATAAATAGAAACAAACTAAACTGGTGATGCCAATTGCTTTTATTTCGTTCTAAAGCCAATAAATCATTAATAATGTTAAATATTTCATTTATTGAATTCTTCGGAATTAATTCATGAAAATGGAAGCTATACAGCTCAATTGCTTAATTGGTTTTATTTGTATATAAATCATCAAACAACTCCCTGCTTAAAAGTCAAGTAAAAAGTCAGTCCATAGGGAACTCATGATAATTTCGAAATATATAGGCTCCTATCCTTATTATTAAGAAAATTATAGCTTTGAGAATAGGCATGTTTGTTACTCATCTTATAAGCTTTCTGAATAAAGCGCTATAACTCATTCCAAACAGAGTATCTCTGTATCAATATCAATAAAGCACTGATAAAGGAAATAAGGTGTAACTCTTGCAAAACTGATTAAGTTTCCAGTAAATCTTATCTACTCCCATGCACTACAAACAATTTCCAGTCACGCAATGCCTCTATAGTTATGATATCTTCTTTCATAATCGTTTACTAAACCAAATCAATACGCTTACCTTACAGACTTCGTCCACCACAAAGACAACAACGCTCACCACTCCGGCCAAACTATATGGCAAGGATCTGAGCGAATATGATGATGTGGATGTGGAGAGCCTGTTGGCACAACTCTCGCCCGAGGAGATAACCATACTGGCCAAAGAAGTTGATCCAGATGTAAGTAATTAGCCAACATATTGCTTTCTCCATCTCACATATTCCATATTCGCACATACGTGTATCTAGGACAACTTTCTGCCACCGAATCAGCGCTGCAGCTATGAGTGCACTAAGGAGTCCACCGGGCCGCTGAATCGCAAACAGCTCATTGAGCACATTAACAAACAGGCCATTGAGACCCCGGATCAGCCCGAGTTCGAGCCATTTGTGCAGGGCACAGTGCGTGGCAAGAAATGGGTGCCACCACCGAGGGACTCACGCGAACTTGAGGTCGAGGAACAGATTGCCATTGACTTGGGTGATGAATATGAGCACGCCTTGAATGATGCCACACAGGAGGAGATTATCGATTTGGCTGCCATTCTTGGCTTCCACTCGATGATGAATCAAGATCAGTACCATGCCTCGCTCCTCAACAAGGGTCAGCCGGTGGGCACGGGCTGGGATGGCATCACAAAGTCCACACAGCAAAAGCTCTTTCCTGTGGATCCACCCAATAGCACAGACGTGGAGGAGTCGATTAAACGCGTCAAGGACGACGACAACAAATTGATTGACTTGAATTTGAATAACATTAAGGTTTGCTATATGTTCTATTGTTTATGATTTTATTTGTTTATAAGGTTCTACGAGATCACAAATTCGTATTAATTATTATTAATTCGACGAATTCTTTGTTGCTTTCGCTCAATTCCAGAATATATCCGATGAGAAACTCGAACAACTCTTTAACGCACTGCCTCAAAACGAACATCTGGAAGTTCTATCGCTTACAAATGTCGGCCTAACTGATAAGACAGCTCTCCTGCTCGCCGAAGCGATTGAGAAAAGCAAAACCCTGAGAGTATTAAACGTTGAAACCAATTTCATCAGTCCGCCCGTTATAGTTAGACTGGTGCAAGCCCTGCTTAAGTGTCATACCATCGAGGAGTTCAGGGCCTCTAACCAGGTAAGTACCTGAACATAATCTCATGCAATAGACTATTCTAATGCGGTGCACTTTTTAGCGATCTACTGTGCTGGGCAACAAGATCGAAATGGAGATCACCGACTTGGTGGAAAAGAACCCATCACTACTGAGACTGGGCTTGCATCTGGAGTTTAACGATGCACGTCATCGTGTGGCCGCACATTTGCAGCGCAACATCGACAGAAGTAAGTGCTGCATTGCCTTTGACAGCGTTCCCCACTCCTTTCGCAGGTTGTCAGCGTTGGTTTCTCTTCTCTACTTATCGCTTCGTTAGGCGTCCCAAAAAAACCTTTAGACTTAACGATACGCTCAAGTAATTTAGGTTTTAATGCCTCGTACTACACTCGCGTTTAGGTGAATTGCAACAAGGTACGTTAGCTTCTACTAGTCATCACCCAAGCACCCCAGCTGCATCTGCATCGTCATCGTTGTCGCCACCACCTTTGCCATCATCTTCATCACATTCTTCAACATCGTCGAGAGCATCAGCATCGATACCAACACCAGCCGTCAAACCCATCTCACCCGCTAAGGCCAAAAGTTTGGCTGCCTTTGAGCTTTTTGTACAGTCACGCACTTGGACTAACGAGATAAGTTCTGCTAATGTTTTGTCATCAGGGCGCGCTGCACGCGTCACCCTGGACCCGGCGAAGGGCCAGCAGCTGAAGGCACCAACAGAGGTCGGAGCATCGACATCCGCGGCTTCCCTCAGTCTCTTGCGTTCCACCAACGAGAGCGCTAGAGAGAAAGAAATCTAAGCGTGTTCTCGCAACCGAACAAGCTTTTATTTCTTTCCCCAAAGTTGATTTGATTTGATTCTTTCTTTAGCATTAACTGCGCCAGGTAAAACGTTATTGAACCCTGTCGCCTCTCTTCTTTGGCATTTGTATCATCCAGTCGTTACGTCTAACCTCACTATCACCATCAACTGCTCACCACAGCCGTAAAGCGTTCGTTGCGTACTCACCTCTCGTTGCGTTTCACGTTACGTTGCGTTACTCGTTGTTGCGTCACAATATAAAGTACCCGTACATATATACATAGTTGCTTAAGTAATGTTTTAAGGCAAACACCAGAGGCTTATTTCATCAACTTGTCGTTCCCACTCAATCGAAATATTCTTAATTAATTTATTCCTTCGTTCACACATATAGTACATATTCGAGTATGTATAGTTAAGTCTTACATTATTACATTTTTAAGTCGGCGTTATGTCACATCATTCTTCACCAACTTCACGATGCTAACAGTTTCCGAAAATGCTCAGCTTCAATTGTACAGTCTTAGTTAGTTAGTGTGTCCTATTTCCCAGCTCCCATTCAAATATTGCATAAGTCTCGTCTCAACTTGTAATAGAACTCTCTGTTAAATGTCGAATGTCGAATGATCCTCTGTACTTTTTCTCTCTTTACGCCCCTTGTTTGTTTGTTTGAAACCCCTAAGCCTTGTAATTACTTGAGATAAAACAAAAGAATAATGCATTAACCAATTATTTGTTATATTTAAAAACCAACAACAACAACAAATTATCAAATATTTATCAAAATCAAACATCCAACTGAACTCGATCTACTACGTGTAAATTAAACCACCAACCCGAAAACGATCTTCAGTTTTCCGCGTGCAAAAGACCAAACCCAATTTGCCCAAATTGATACTGCCCGGTAATATGGAAATCGAACGCGAACTGCTGCACTTAGGCGTCTCCACACCTTCGCCATCACCTTCACCATCGCCACAGCCACCGGCCGACTACGATGTGGAGGTGGATCCCGATAACATGGTGATACGCGGCAGGCCCTCGCCTTCGCCTTCCCCATCGCCCCAGCCACCGGTCGACTATGATGTCGAGGTAGATCCCGATAACATGGTTATACGTGGTGGTGGTGGTGGTGGCGATGCCTACGATCCTGAATATGATCCCGAGTTCGATCCCGATAATGTGGTGGTGCCGGGCAGTCGAGCCGAGACGCCGAACTACGACGACGTCTACGAGGGCGTCTATCAAGCGCACACGTGAGTGAAGCACCACAGCGAGATGCACCACAGACAAGACACACCAACCACAAACCACCAACTCTCATTCACGCACACACCAGTGCGAGATCCACAGCAGACAAATGTACAGACTTCTACTCACTCTCACTGTCGCTCTCAGTTCTCTCTCGCACCCGCTCTCGCCTCACTTTACTCGTATTTTGTGTTGTTGCTGTTGTTCCACCGAAAATGTTGTTATTGTATTTTGATCGGCATTTTTAAGTGTGTGACATAAAGTAAAACCTTGTTCTCTATACATCCCTATACATCTCGACATAAATATTCTTGCAGACCAAGAACGTGTACATACATATATCGTATATAATAATCTCTATTATTTGATCAATGTCGTTGTTTTCAGTTATCTCCGCACCCACAATCATCCTGTAAATAACTTCGTACCACCCACCTCCATTAGCTGTGCAACTAACGTATGTAGTCCTCGTTTTTTTCAACCGTCGAGGCTTGCCAAGTGAACAAATATTGTCTCTCCCAGCCTCTCTCAGTCAACTCTCTATGTTTATTCTCTGCCCCGTTGATACGTTCTCCCAGAAGCAGAAACAACAACAACAAATCAGTGCTCTGTGCGCCACATACTCTCTCTTTCCCTTTTATGTTTCGTTTGTTTTGTAATATGTTTTTATGTGTACTCTTCTCTTTCTCTCTCTCCTCTCTTTGTTTCTCATTTACAGTAAGAAAAGATCTTGAATTGCGCCTGAAGTTCAGATTTTTCAATAATCTGCATAGAAAATCAACAAGAATTCAATAAGAGAAATGGCCAACTAAAAACAAAATTAATCCAAAGAAAAGTAAAAAAACAAAGAAAGAAAGAAAGCAACTAAAATAATTTTCTAAAGCGTTTTGAGATTTCAAAGAAACAAAACTACAATTTCAACAATTTTATAAAATGAAAAATGTAAAAATATAAAAGGAAAGCTTCACATGTTGCAGCTATCAACATATGTTAGAGAGACTAAAACCAAAACATAAACAAGAAATATAATATATAAAATATACCTACATATATATTTATAATGCGCAAAACGAACAACTGATACATATATACCTATATATACAACACCCACGATATATATAGAGATAAAAAAGAAATGAAACTGATTTACGAGAAAACGCAAGGCATCTAACACAGCAACAAACTTTAGGTGTATAATTTTCTTTAATACTTAACACAGGTATCTATGAATTCTACAATACTCTTTCGTAAAACAATATCAGTTCTGAACAATTGCAAGTTGCCAGTTGCATTAACCCCTAAAAGCAATTTGTTTTATATAGTTTGGCTCTGCCTTGCCTAAACAACTTATACTATACTATATATATATGCCATTAAAAAGCGAAGCGCTTATACAGCAGAGGAAAAATTAGTGAGAATGCATTTTCCTGTAGTGATATGAAATCATGAAAATGCCTGAAATAATACTCTACTCTAGTTGTTGTTCAATTGTTTCAAAACACTCATTGGCCACCGATTTATCAAATGAAACAAACTAACACTTGCTTGTGCTACCCAAATTCATATTAACTGGGGTTGTTGAAAAACTCAATGCTACTTAAATAATTCGAAAAGTCTGTTAATAGTTTATTAGAACGATTGTTGAGCATAATATTCCGAAATGGAAAGTTTTAAATATTGAAAGAAATTTTAAAGCAGTTTAATTGGAAGACTGAATGTTGAATTGTTGCGATTTTTCTATTACAAGTATGATCTGAGTTACTTAGAATGAAAGGTTCCTGTTTGATTTTGTAAATACTATATAGTTTGACTATAAATGAAGTATAGATGCAAATCGATTAATCATTTCTCTGAATTTAATTGGAATAGAAAATATTAGAAATTGCAGTTCTAATTACTTAACGTATTTTAGTTATTTTGAAAATATATAATTTTTTACAAATTAATTTTAAAGTGAAAAGCAAATTATGTTCAAAGTTGTTAGGTTTCCAGAATTTCCTTTAAACTAATTTAAAATTCTTTTTAAATCAACTGTACTTTTATATTTTTGAAATTGTTTGTAATTTTGCAGCATTTTCATTTGAATATTTTTTGTTCATTAATCATTTTGCATGTTAAGCATCGCATGAACTTGAACCCTAACTACATTCACTACATATATCTGAACAATACATTGTATATTTTCCCTGCACGCCTACGTTCATCAAAATTGTACATAAAAGTCGCATTCAACAGTCGTCTACACAACTCAATCGGAAAAGTCTAATGAAATTCTCTTCACATAGGAATTAAACTGCGATGTACATTTTTAAGTAAGAACCAAAACCAAAGAGCAGCAAATGCGAATAACAGTAAACACTTGATATACTGATAAAAAATGAATAACCAAGCGAATAAATGAATCAATAAAAAAATATGAATGCAAATATTTAAACAATGAATGAACTTGCAAATGCAAGCACTTGAGACAGAGACAGCAATTGTTTTATGTGTTTTTATAATTCAATAAAGAACAACAAAAGCAGTGCAAACTACAAAAAACAAAACAACGACAAAATGTAGCACAACTTTCGGCGCCAAACCCCATGAATAAATATCTAGCGAAACAGTTGGTACCAATTTTATTTACTTACGTTGTTTGATTGTGCGCTAAATACCAATTGTTGTTGCTTTAATAAACAATGAAAATCAAATAATTATGCAATCTTTTCAGCAGGACCTTTCTACTAACTGCAATAACTATAACAAACTCTTAAGGAAGAGATTAACAATCCGCTTTCTCCACTTGCCCGATTTAAGCCAAAACTAATAATACTACGCTCCCTAAAACTTTACTCACAAATAGAATTAAGCATCTATTTAAGAGCTCTCTGCCTTGCCCCCAATATTCTTTTTCTTGAAGTCTTTTAAAAAACAGCCAACCTACAGACTGAAGAAACGCCCGATCTTGAATGTTGTACTCTTACCCAATTGATTGATTGATTTGTTAAATGTTGTTTAATTGAATTGAATTGAATAGAATTGATTGAATGATATATTAAGCTAACCCCAGAACTTGTACTACTTATATATCCTCGAATTGTAAATCACTTGACTAATCCATTTGTATTTGTTTCTTCTCTTCCCTCCCACGAAACCGTTCTTTGTTTCTGTGCTCTCTTTCTCTGTCTCTCTCTCTATGTTTACAGTACGTGTGAAACGCCTGAATCAACGTAAATAAAAAGACAAACCAGCAGCAATAAAATCGCAACGCTCTTTTTACCACCAACACCACCACAATCAACCAACAACAATTTCCGTGTCTGTGTATTTTTGTTAAAGTTTTTTTTATTCTACTAATCACCACTACAAGAACGTGCTATTCCTCAAAATCTTAAATGTTAAACACGCCCTCTGTGTACACGCAACAACTACAACACCAAGCCCAACAACAACAACAACTACTACTACTACAACAACAAATTTGACACCAAAACTACCCAGCAAGCAACCATCCGACCTATATGTACCGCCCTGAACCAGCCGCAGACTAACAACGAAGAATGATGTTGATGTGCAGTACGTAAAGTGTTTTAAAAATTATAACAATATTTACAGCATTTACCGATACCTGAAGCTCCGAATTCATGAAAATTAAATATATACGTGATAGGTAACAAAAGCTACGGTTTAGACATGCAAATTATTTGCACACAAAATTCTGTGCTACTAATCTATACGAGTAGTCTTAGAAAAGTGTTCGGCCAACTATATTTTAATATAAAATGCTTATTGTTTTTAATTGAAGTACAGTATATTAAGGAAACACTTGTGGAGTGTGAAAAATTTGTATGGAAATAATTTGCTGATCTGATCATAGCTTAAATCTGTTGGTCTGAACGCCTCGATGTGAGTTTTTAAAGATAGTAACCACTTTTGAGTCAATTCCTTTCGGGCTCTTACAAACCATTTGATTAAAAATTAAAAAGGTTCCCAACAAACTCAAAAATATTTGTTAAAAAGCATTTAAAGCAACTTCTCGTGTTTTCAAAGTATTTAATAATTTCAATCATTATCTAATTCAATACTAAGTAGCTGCGTAAAAAGCAACATTTATTTTCTGATGTCAAATACTTTTCATTATATGGCTCTACACCATTTGTGAACTAACTATTAGATTCACCAAAAGGTTCCAACGAAAAGGAATCCATTTAGGACATGTATATTAAAAGCTCTTCGTTTATTTAAAAGAGCCGCAAACATGTTCTGTAGCTTCCAATATTTATTACACATATAGCGGAAGATTCAAACAAGTACATATTCGAAAAAATATAATTAAAATTTTGTTACACTTATATTTACTTTTTCATGAGTTTGGAGCATCTTTAAGCTAAGCATAGAGACTAAGAGTATACAAATTAATCTTTACTTAGGTTATTCGTATTTATAGGCTACTTCACAGTATTTATTATTAATGCTAACTTAAAACATTGCTGTTTTATATTTTGTTTTCTATACAATCCAAATGTTGGCACTTGATATTCGCCTCAAGTGCATTAGTTTGTGTCTTGCTTCGTCTAAAAGTCTTCAAATTACAGCTCAAGTCGCTGAGGAGAGACATCACTGATATCATCTGATCAAATATGATCCGGACCGATTAGAAAAGAATAATCTATTTATGTACACATTATAAAAAGAGAATATTTTTATTATTGTCCTCCAAATAGACACTTTTTGAACTAATACAAGCATGTTAATGGGTAATACAATTTTCCATAGCCTTTAGTTTCTTCAACAAATATATTTTTATGGCCTTAAAAGTCTCAAGGAGTCAAGTGTTGCGAACACGGTTGCTGTTTGACCAAAGTTTCGATCACATGCAGGTCATCTAAAATTTTAAGAGTCGATTCATTAGATATGTTGGGAGTCTTTGATATCTCTCTAACTTCCAAGCACAATTTCCTTCACCTTTCCGAGGTAAATAGACAGCTTGTATGAGGAAAGTTTTTTACGACCTTATTAAACTCTCTGAACGCTTTAGGGCACTCCAATACTTGAGTTCTCGATAGATTAGACTTCTGCAACCTTTTCAATGATTCCGTAATACCATTGGAAACAATGTTTCCAGGAAGGCAACCATAAAAAAACCCAATAGTTAAAAAATTCCATTTACACTAAAGAAGGAAGAGAAGAGTTGGACCAGTCCGGGTCAAAATCTGATCAGCGGTCAGAGACATTTGAGTCTCTCTTTAGCGACTTCCATTGTATATAAATCGTTGCTCCATTGTTGGTATTGCGTCTTCCGATAAAAAATAATCCAGTCAGAATATTTCACAGCAAGTAATTGTGCTAATCGCAATTCTTGATATAATTTTACAGTTGGACGTCAGCGTCGCATGGGACATTTGACCAGGAACTACACCATTGGAGTCTGGCAATAGGCGATGATAACGACGAAAACGGCTACACAACAACAACAACAAGAAATTTTGGAATATTTCGCGGCCGTTCGATAACGATAATTCATAAATTGAATAATATAACTGCAATAGTCTAAACAAATGTCACTTTTGTTGTTTCGCGAGAGAATTGTTGGACAATTTTCTCTGTTTAATGTTTGTTGAACATTTTGTGCCACGTTGAAGGCATTGTGTTTTATTATTATTTTTTACATACGAGTACATACATAAATATGTATAATTTAATCATTTGTTCGTTGAAAGTTCTACAAGTTACGCAAAATGTTATTTGTTTGTCACACACATACACAGAGGGTAAGGCAGAGATGCGTTTTTAATACTTAATTCAAATGAAATTGGGCACACCGAGGAAAGTTGAAAATAAGATCACATTTATTATTTTAAAAATGTATTGATTGTCCAAATGATTATGTCCTTGTTAAGACTTGAAGTTAATTGGCAAAAATATAATATCGCTCCCTTCTATACAAATGCACGGCACAAGAAACTAAATTTGTTTGTTTTGGGCAAAGCTTCAAAAACAAAATGCATCTTTCCTTAAAAATAAAAAAAAACTGAAGAAGTTTGTCGACTTTACGCGGCAATTTCACACGCACTTTTACACGATTTCATTTCACCTAATTTCTTTAATTTTAAATATCTATATTTTAAATATTGTGTACCTAATGGAAGGCGTTTGGTACGCGAGGTGCCGAGGCAGGAAACAGGATGAAGGAATGAGAGAAGAAGAGCTAAATGCTTGTGTTTATATACATCTACCAATAAATAATATCGCATATTTATATATGATACATATATATAGCCATGGTCTCTGAAACAATTCACTGCTATATTGAATTATAAAATTGCTTAAACATAATATTAAATCTATGATTAATTTAATAAAGAAACAAAAACATTTGTATAATGTAATGATATCGTATGTTACTCTATATACGACATAATGCAATGCTTTTAAAACAAATTCTTTTTAAAACTTATGTAAAAACAAAATACAAATAAAAAAATACAAAAAAATACATACAGGATGTAGCTTTCATTTTTGAGAGGCAAGGGACAAATATCTTAAATTAAGGTTGAATAATTAATTGAATATATTCGAACCGTATACGCTTTAAAACAACAGGGGAAACGAACTTCGGGCGAAATATCTCCTGAAACAAATCAACATTGTTTTGGCTTTTCATTTTTTCAACCGACGCTTTTCGGTTTTGGCTTATCTGGTTGCTTCCATTCGGCATTCGGCACCAGAAGGAGATTTTTTAAGAAGTCCTTTAAACTTTGGAACGCAACTTGTGTATTGCATGATTTCTTTCCACCATTTTGTACATGAAATGTGTTGGGTCAAACTAGCCACACTCGCAGTTAAATAACCTTATAATTACTAAACCCTATTATACTAGAATAATTGTCAATATCTATTGGAAATATTCTCATGTCACAATCAGTCAATTAACCCTCGCAACTGCAAATATCACTTCCCTCTTTATTATTTGTACGTCCTACATTCTTACACTTAAATTCACCACACTGTAAGTTGAACTCTAAAGCATCAGTACGAAAATACCAATAAACAGTTTGTAATCAACTCTTGAAGAAGAACCACTGTCTATCGCGTACAAGTCATTTGGTTATGTGTCAATTGCATTGTTATCTATGTTCAAATTAATTCACACACCGCCCAGACCTGAAGTTTCATGTTGGCAAGGAAAACGCTCCTTGACACAACATTTTGGCGCCCAACGTGGGGCTCGTGTGTGAATTTTACTGCGAAGAAATTTAAATTTTGTAATTTACATATAAATACTTTGTGGCCTTCAGCTTCGCATTGACTTGACGCGTTTCTCGCATTTTTTGTCGCTTCGATCTCGCTGCAGTGGCTGTACACACGCACACAGCTAATTGCCGGCATATACATACATCACTTATCGTTGTTGGAAGTACACCGCTATTTCGTTCCTATTCGCCTTGCTGTGGACTTCGCTCGCCATCTTTTGGATCAGTCTTGCCGACTGTACTTCGATTTGTTGGAAGTACGGCACGACTTCGCCTTAATTCGCCTCGCTACTGCTTTCGTCCAAAGCATACACATTATTTCTCGAAGACAACATTACTCGCTGTTGGAAGTGCGCCGTTACTTCTTTCTTGTCCGCCTTCGCTCATCGTCACTTGGACCGTATTTGGTCGCTGCATCACTTATCGTTGTTGGAAGTAGGAAACTACTTCGCTCTCGTTCGCTTTGCTGCTGCCTTTGTTTGACAGCAGACGCATCATTTATTGGAATTTACATCGTTTATTCGTCGGCAACCGAATAATCGCTGTAAAAATCTTCACTTCGTCGCACATTAATTCGTCACTATCAGCTGCGTTGGTGTCTTTGGCTGCTGCATTAACAATTATTTAATTCGCGTTTGTTCAATTTAATTTGTTCAGCAATATGTCGATCGAAGAACTTAAGGCCAAGAGAGGTAATATTAAACGTAATATATCTCGCATAAGGTCTTTGGTTGAAATAAAGGATGAGTGTAAACCTAAACTGTCCAATGATGAATTGCAATGTCGCTTGGGTATATTAGAGTCATATTTTAAAATGGCTTTAACTGTGCAAACTGATATTGAAAACTTGGACCCTACCGATAATGGTCGCGCAGATATGGAAGACACATACGTGGAGATCAAGCTGTGCATTAAGGAGCAGCTTGGAGGAGAATTAAATACCACTGTGCTGCCCTCGGATTCAGAACCGCCGGTAGCTACCATAAAGTCGTCGTCGCTGCCAAGGCTGTCGCTACCGACATTCGATGGAAATTACGCCAATTACAGCAATTTCATCAATTCGTTTGAACAAATAATTGCACGTGAGTCTGGGCTATCAAATATAGAAAAGTTCAATTACTTGCTGTCCTGTCTAAAGGGGCCGGCATTAGAAACAATAAAGGCATTTCAAGTTACGAGTGCAAATTATCCTAAAGCCCTGGGAAGGCTTAAAGAACGGTTTGATAATCCCACTCTCATATTTTTAGAAAGTATTGCCGCATTGTTTGCGCTACAGCCAGTTGAAAAGGCAAACAGTCAACAGCTTCGTAGCCTAGTGGATAAGGCATCCGCAATATTTAGTTCGTTGGAGTCCATTGGCAATTCAACTAATATTGTCCAAGCCATGCTCATATATATTGTCATTGACAAATGTGATCAGCAAACTCGAAGCAAATGGAATGAATCGCTGGACTACAAGACACTGCCCTGCTGGTCTACATGCACACAGCTTTTAGAACGCCATTGTCAGTTTCTACAGTCATCAGGAACCTCTCTTCAGCGCAAGTTCGACAATAACAAATCCACAACTCGTGTTAATAGCTCAACCTTTGCTATCACTAATGCATCTTGTATACTCTGTTCTAGCCCTGCTCACAAAATTAACAACTGTGCCCAGTTCAAGGCCATGAATAGCAACCAACGTTTCGACAAGGTCAAAAGACTTGGACTTTGCATCAACTGCCTCGGAAGTGGACATAAAATGGCACAATGTCCATCGACTTATCGTTGCCGCACTTGTAATAGAGGGCACCATTCATCGCTACATCATGGACAACCATCGCAACTCTCGCAAACATCGTTCACGCAAGCATCAGCTGCACCAAACGACGCGTTTCACCAGGCTCAAGCTGCCTCACATTCTCACATGGAAATTTCTCCTGGTGATCAGATTCTATTGGCAACTGCTATGGTTTTGGTCAAGGATTCATCAGGTGAATACAAGCTTGGGAGAGCGCTGCTAGATTCATGTTCTCAGGTTAACTTCATAACTGAACACTTCGCCCAAAAACTTCGCTTGCATCGAGAAAGGCATCACATCGGGATCCGTAGTATCGGTGACTCCCTAACTAATCTCAAGGCTCGTACAACAACATCAATCAAATCACGAACATCGAATTATCAGTTGACGCTGCAGTTCGGAATTACGTCGCACATTGCGTACCAGCCTGACGCCGAGATCGACATCTCAAGTTGGAATTTGCCTGCTAATGCACCGTTGGCAGACGATACTTTCTTTAAGTCTCGACGTATCGACTTGCTGTTGGGAACTGAAGCATTCTTTGAAGCGCTTGCTATTGGTCAAATTCGTATCGGACCAAATTTACCCACTCTGCAGAAGACTCTGTTTGGTTGGGTCATCTCCGGCAAATATCAGCATCAACGTAGCCAACGACCACCATTGTGCTTGGCCACAGTTGAGGACTCGATAGATAAACACTTGCAACACTTATGGAAAATTGAGTCTATCGAACGCCCGATTAAGGAGCTTCACCCAATTCATCGTCGCTGCGAAGACCATTTTGTAGCCACCACACATAAGGATGCTATTGGGCGCGTTGTCGTCAGCCTGCCCTTTAAGGAGAATCCAAATTGCCTTGGAAGCTCTTTCGAAACAGCTCGAAATAGATTTTTCGCCATTGAAAGACGTCTGTCGCGTCTACCCGATATCCGCTCACAGTACATATCCTTCATGCAAGAATATGAAGATCTTGGTCATATGTCGCGCGTACAGAACCCAAATCTAAAGGAACCGCACTATTACATTCCACATCATTTTGTACTCAAACCGAGTAGCTCATCAACGAAGCTCAGAGTCGTCTTCGATGCATCATGTCGTACGACCTCTCAAAAATCGCTTAATGACTTGCTTTTGATCGGCCCTACCATTCAAGATGAGCTCTACATGCAGCTGCTACGGTTTCGGATGCATCGGTTCGCCATCACAGCTGATGTTACAAAAATGTACAGGCAAGTACTCGTTACCAAAAATGATAGAAGGTTTCAGTATATCTTTTGGCGAGCCTGTCCAGATGAGGAGTTACAAACTTTCCAGCTCAACACAGTTACGTATGGGACGGCGTCAGCGCCATATCTCGCAACTCGTAGTTTACAGTATCTAGCGGATGAATGTGAAAACGAGTTGCCTGTTGGAGCTGCTGCTGTCAAGTCGTCATTTTACGTGGATGATCTGCTATGTGGAGCAGACGACATCGATGCCGTGCAAACACTGAAACGGGAGATTACTGAAATACTCAGTCGTGGACATTTTCCCCTATGCAAATGGCACTCAAATCTTCAAGAACTTATGGAAGACCAAACTACTAAAGAGATAACCATCTCCGAAAACTTCGTAAGTAGTACACTTGGTGTAACTTGGCATCAGCAAGATGATGCGTTCAGTTTTACCTTTCGGCCCAAGGAAGTGTATACCACTGCTACAAAACGGACAATTTTAGCTACCGCATCATCGCTTTTTGACCCGATCGGCCTATTGTCCCCACTCGTCGTAATATCTAAAATTATCCTTCAGGAACTATGGCTTCTGAAACTCGACTGGGATGAGTCAGTCCCACAACCCTTACTTAATTCTTGGATTAAATGCTTACAGTCCCTGAACTCGGTCTCGTCGCTAACTGTTCCTCGATATTGTCTGCAACCAAGCCCTTGCAGCATTCAGTTACATGGCTTTTGTGATGCATCAATCAGAGCATATGGTTGCTGCTTGTACATGCGCACGGAAGACGCAAATGGACACATTAACGTGCACTTGATGACTTCAAAATCAAGAGTAGCACCAGTGAAAAAGCAGTCGCTTCCAAAACTGGAACTATGTGGTGCTCACTTGTTAGCTGAATTGTACAGCAAGACAAATAGCATATTTAAACATCGAACCATTACATCATACTTTTGGTGTGACTCCCAACTCGTTTTGTATTGGCTGCAACAACACTCAACTACTTTGTCCACGTTTGTGGGAAACAGAGTATCTGACATTCAGGAATTGACTTCGGATGGTATTTGGCGCTACGTTTCGACTCATCACAATCCAGCTGATCTTATATCTCGAGGCTGCCGCGTTGAAGAATTGAGAGCCTCAATATGGTTCACTGGTCCCGCATTCTTACGCGACCATCCGTCACAATGGCCAACCAAAAGGAAATCATTTGATGTCGACATAAATATTGTTAACTCGGAGAAGCGCAAAACAGTGTTTACCGCTATAAGGGACACAAACTACATACTGGAGGTCATCGATAAAATAAGCTCACATACTCGCACTATTCGTCTCATCGCTTGGATGATTAGATTCACAAAGAAATGCAGAAAGCAACCAATAGCATCGACAATTGTACTCTCGCCAGAAGAACTTCGATTCGCGTCGAACTGCATAATTTGGAACATTCAACAAACTCATTTCGCAAATGATATTCTCGCACTTCGGAAACAGAAACCATTAAAAAACAACTTGAAATTTCTCACTCCTTTTTTAGATTCGTCGAGTAGCTTTGAGCTGATCAAGGTTGGTGGGCGACTGGACTATTCGGAGCTACCAGATAGACAAAAGCATCCATTGCTGCTGCCCAGTAGTTCGCATTTCGTTCGGAACTATGTTCGTCATCTGCATATTCAGAATTTTCATGCGGGCCCTAAGGCATTAGTCGCGCTAGTTCGCTTGGAGCACTGGATTGTCAACGCTAGAGACTTGGCTCGGCGCATCGTCCGTTCCTGCATCCATTGCGTTCGCTACAGGCCCAAATTATTACAGCAAATTATGGGATCGCTGCCACCGACACGTCTCATACCTGGTTTCCCATTTGAACGCTGTGGGATCGATTTTTGTGGACCTGTCAATACATATGTTCGAATTCGAGGAAAGGGTCCTACCAAATCATATATAGCCATATTCGTCTGCCTTCTCACAAAGGCTGTTCACATCGAACTAGTATCAGATTTGTCAACCAAGTCGTTTATGAATGCCTTGAAATGAATGGGAGGACGACGCAAAATGCCAACAGATATATTTTGCGACAACGCTACTAATTTTGTCGGAGCTTCTAACCAGTTACATGAATTAAAGAAATTCATGTTTAAGAAGGAGACTCAAACGGAAATTCAACAATTTTGTGCGTCGGACTTTATTAATTTTCATTTTATTCCACCCAGGGCACCCCATTTTGGCGGCCTTTGGGAAGCTGCAGTGAAGAGCGCCAAGGGTCTTCTAAACCGCACATTGGCGAATACGAGGTTCACATTCGAAGAGCTGAGCACCGTCGTTGTGGAAATCGAAGCCATCCTCAACTCGCGCCCTCTGTCGCCGCTGTCATCAGATCCAAACGATTACAGCGCACTGACTGCCGGACATTTCTTGGTCGGAGACTCACTCCGCTCATTGCCTGAAAGATCATTAGAACCATGCAACTTGTCTAATTTGGATCGGTATGACATGATGACCGCTATTAAGCAACGATTTTGGAAACGCTGGAACGCCGACTACATAAACGAGCTACGAGCTCGTACTAAGTGGACATCAACGTCACCGAACTTAACTGAAGGAACGTTGGTAGTTGTACACGAAGACAATCTGCCACCGCTTCGATGGAAATTGGGTCGCGTTGAGTCAACCGTGATCGGAAGAGATGGACGAATTCGGGTGGTGCACCTCCGCACTGCCACTGGAACATGCTGCAGACCCATACACAAACTAGCGATACTACCTGCTTGTTGAAAGGGTCCTTTCAAAGGGGCCGGGATGTTGGGTCAAACTAGCCACACTCGCAGTTAAATAACCTTATAATTACTAAACCCTATTATACTAGAATAATTGTCAATATCTATTGGAAATATTCTCATGTCACAATCAGTCAATTAACCCTCGCAACTGCAAATATCACTTCCCTCTTTATTATTTGTACGTCCTACATTCTTACACTTAAATTCACCACACTGTAAGTTGAACTCTAAAGCATCAGTACGAAAATACCAATAAACAGTTTGTAATCAACTCTTGAAGAAGAACCACTGTCTATCGCGTACAAGTCATTTGGTTATGTGTCAATTGCATTGTTATCTATGTTCAAATTAATTCACACACCGCCCAGACCTGAAGTTTCATGTTGGCAAGGAAAACGCTCCTTGACACAACAAAATGTACAAGAGTATACAATTAGGTTTGCGCGAGCTGAAAAATGTAACAGACACAGGGAGGCGTGGCAGACCCCACAAAGTATATATATTCGTGATCAGCATGATAAGACGAGTCGATCTAGCCATGTCTGTCTGTCTGGATCTCGGAGACTATGAGAGCTAGAGACACCAAATTTTGCACAAAGATGCCTTATGTGTATACGCTATACGAGTTTGTTTTATTTTTTTGATTATTATACATTATTATTATTTATTCATGCTCAAAATGGGAAAACAAAAAATATTGTTTATCCAAATGTTTTGGATTAAGTATTAAAATAGCTAGCAATTATTAAAATATTTGTTTGTTTGAATAAATGAATTTGATGTTCCAATTAAATATTTTTATTATTTCACTTTATACGTAGCGAAGCAGGTACCGGGTCGCTAGTGAAGTATAAATATTCCTTAACGTTTTTTCTAAAATCTGTAATATATAGTATAAGAGAAAATTTAATTTTGTTTTTTATCATGTGCGATTGTTCTAATGTAGAACTGCTAATAAATCGGGCCCCCCTTCCTTCAAATTAACTGATTAATTTCAGAAACAGATTGGTTATTTCTGCGTAAATCGTTTGATATTGAAATTGCGTCTACTTCTTCCTAAAATGTTGCCACCTTTTTTTAATAGTATGAAGTTTGGGTATCTTGAAAAGTTTGAACAACCTTTTTTTTCTAGACTTTTCTCTATATTCTATAATCAAATCACACTTCAATTTCCGTGCTTCTCTGAGCAGATGTACAAATCTATTTTCTTCTATCTTTACAAATATAAATAATTTGGTGTAATTCAATTTTCTATTCCTAATTTATTTAGTTTTGAAATTAATTTCTTTATTTAATTAAAGTATAAGCAAAATATGACCGTTTTGAATGTTAAGCAGCCAAATGTTTTTGGAATTTTTTGTTTATTTATGTAAAAAGAAACTATAAAAAGGTCGTTTATTTTGTGGGCCATCAAAGTTAAAAATAGATTTCTGCTCTCTGCGAGATAAGGACTAGTGCTATCCGGTAGTCAGATGATATTAAAAATATATAATGTGTAATTTTTATCGCTATTTATTATCAGAGATAGTGTTTTGACGCAGTATATGATAATCTCCGATTTATTACGAATTTTAGACTGCAGGACAAGCTTATCATTTTCCATTTCACTTAATAACTTCTCTAAACACTGGAGATTTATATATATATATATATATAGTATATATATTTATCTGTCAATATCCTCGTTTATTTCACAACATACTTATTTTCGTCAGCATGTCAATCAATATTTGTTGTCATCGATTCACACCTCGCGTGTCACCACCTTTTAATTCAAATAGATCTAATATTGATCAACTGATTAATGGAAAAATTTCGGGCTTGGTGGTGCCAGAAGAAATTGAAAAGTCAAACACAGTGGGCGGGGGCCCAAAGTCAAGTGCGCGCTGTTTATGGCCTGCCCCAATGAGATAGACAACCGGTATCCCTCTTCCACACATATGCCGGAACGTTATGCAAATAGCACAAGCTGTTCAGATAAGCTCGCTGGCACATATTGCCCAACCAGATCTTATCATTCGTGTAGCGCCCAGCATTCAGAACAGACGTCGTCATTTTGAGGAGCCTAACAATATGTCCACGCTCGAGAACGAGGTGACCTTTCGCAAACGATTGGAAGTCAATCAAAATCTAGAGGCGCATTTTCAAAGCTCCTCCTCATCGGACTTCATTGTAATTACCGATCATCGCACCTCCAAGTCCAAGAGCCTCGAACAACTGGAGGCAGCCAGACAGGACAATGACGCCAACTGTTGTGCGCCCAGCCTGCAAAATATTTTCACAATGAAGACACTGAAGCGACGGCTCCCCATTCTAAGCTGGCTGCCAAAATACAGCAGTACCGATGCCATTGGGGATCTCATCGCCGGCATTACCGTGGGCCTAACCGTCATTCCGCAGGGTCTGGCATATTCGGGAGTCGTTAGTCTGCCTCCAGAGGTGAGTGACGCGTATTGCTAAGCAAATATTGGGAGGGCTATTGTGCATTATCTTTGCACGCTTAACGCTTCTACTGTCGCTACCGAAATGCGTAATTTGCTGTTGTTGTTATGGCCTTTGCGCTAACTAAGTATAAATAACATTACGTTGCACTTTTTAAAATGCTGCTCGAACTAGAGTCAGCTCCAAAAAGACTGATAATCGCAACGCAACTCAGTTGTCTTCAACTTCCTTCATTATGTCTTCCTGCATTTTAAAACAAATGGTTCCCAATTTCTTGTTGTTATCTCTTGTTCTTTTCCAAGCCATATTTGAACAATTTTAATTTAAATCAACCTCCAACCACTATGCAACTTTCTGCGATTATTGTTGTTGATGAGGTTAAGTGTTCTTAGTGTGCCATGGTGTTGGAGATAAGTTTGCAGGGGGACAGTGCGTCGGAAGAGCACACTCCTTGAGAGCTGGGCAGTGGCGGAATTTCGATCGCTTCAACTTCCTGGCATTTCCTGCATCTGTTGTTAGCTTCTTGTCATGATTGGTAGCCAAGCAATTACCTATGAGTAGGCCGGTTGCATTCTTTTTCCTAGAGTTGCAAGAGGAATTGAGTGTTGCCTTTATCCTTACACATTGCTCGGCCGCTCTTGCAGTTGACAGCCTTCGTCCAAGCTCTACACTTTCTTAGAAAGAGAATTCTGTCGTTTGTACTACTTGCTTTCTTTTTGCACGCACCGTTTTCTGGGCCGCCCAAAAAATGATCGCATGCCAAGATTTTATAGCTGCCATTACAGCCTCTTTCGCTGCCTGGCAGATATTCCAGTAGTCAAGGAGCTTTTATTTGTATAATTTGATGGAGCTCTAGCTCTGGAGCAGTATATTGATGCGCCAGTTTCTATCTTCATCTTTAAGCTTTATTGTTAGCACACAATTTTAAAAAATGCAAAAATATTTTAATAATATGAATGAACGAAGCAAATATTGAAAATTTACAAAGTAAGGTATTTTTTATATTTCTTTAAACTTTATATTAACATTAATTGTTAGAGAAGACTCTAAACTGTGCCACCTTTGGGCTGATTACAGTAAATTCTTTTTTCAATTTTAATAAAAGTCCGAGCTACTATATTCTAACGACGTGTATTTGTGCGAGATCCAATTTGGAGTGGCACTGGCCCTCCCGACAACAGCTTTAGTTTGCAGGCGGAAGCTCTGAGTACTGAGCAAATAAAGTTAAGTTGAAAGCTCGATTGAGTGCCCCGATGAAACCAACTGAGAGAATTAAAGTATAAGCTTAAGTATAAACCTAGCATCTCAGCAGCTGTAGAGATGAGGAAGAGAAGAAAAGAAAAGCGTAGAGCACCTGCTCTGTTATCATCCAGCTCTTAGAAGGCCCAAGGTCATTGGTTTAGGGCAACCCCTCCCAAATGATCGCGCAGACTTTCTAAAGCGGGAGATTGTAAAGTCCATTTCATTTATTAAGATTACTGCAAACAGAAAACATAAGGCCTAAAGGTAAAGGTGTGAGTTGCCGAGCACCATCGCTCCGACACACATACTATATTTGCCTTAAACTATATCATAATTAATTATTTATAAAAAACAAATGCCTATCAAACGCATGCTATTTGAAGCCTCTTGTTTTTAAATTAGATATTTTTGCTGATAATAAATTGGGACTAGCGCTATAAATTGATAAATAAAACCTATTAATAGAGTAACTCATAAATAAACGGGCGTCTATTTGAGTGCTGTTTTGAAAATAAAACTACAAGTATATGCCTAATTTATTACAGTACGGCCTCTATGGCTCCTTTATGGGCTGCTTCGCATACGTGCTCTTCGGCAGCTGCAAGGACAGCACGCTTGGCTCCACGGCTGTGGCCTCGCTGATGACCTACCAGTTCGCTCAGGGATCCTTGCAGCGTTCAATACTGTTGACCTTCCTCACTGGCATCGTGGAGATACTGATGGCTGTCTTTAAGCTGGGGTGCCTTGTGGAGTTCGTTTCGGGTCCTGTGAGTGCAGGATTCACAAGCGCCGTAGCGCTGATCATTTCCTCCTCACAGATGAAGAATATTCTGGGTGTGAACAGTGACGGCGCCTCCTTTCTGCAGCGTTGGATCAGCATGATCAACGACATTGACAACATTCGAGTGCCGGACGCCTGTCTAGGCATCGCCTGCGTATTTCTGCTTACGGCCATGCGCAGTCTGAATCGTCTGACCATTGGTCCAAAGGATCCGGCGCAACGCAACTGGGCTCAGCGTGTCGTCAATAAAGTCCTGTGGTTCATGGGCACTTCTCGCAATGCTATAGTTGTTGTCGGCGCTGCCGTTATGGCCATGTATCTGGAGCATATTGGACACAATCCTTTCCGCTTGACGGGCTACATACCGCCTGGCCTCCCTACTTTTAAGCTACCACCATTTTCAATCGAGGCAGTACCGGGAAATGCTACCGCTGGCATAGAGGAGGTGCCTGCCGAATCCTTCTTCGACATGGTTCAGGACTTGGGCTATGGTCTGATTATAGTGCCTGTTATAGCGATGTTGGAGAATGTCGCGGTCTGTACGGCCTTTGCCAAGGGAAAAGCTATAGATACCTCGCAGGAGTTGATTGCCACAGGCGTGGCAAACATAGCCAACTCGTTTGCTAGCGGCTATCGGTGCAATGGCGGCCTGGCGCGTTCGGCCATCAACAATGCCAGTGGCGCACGCACCCCAATGTCCAATCTATATATCGGTCTAGTCGTAGTGCTAGCGCTCTCCTTCCTGGCCGAATACTTCTCTTTCATACCCAAGGCGGTGCTGGCAGCCATACTCATTGCAGCGGTCATATTTCAGGTGCAATATCAAATTATTATACCGATGTGGCGCAGCAAACGTGAGTGGTTCTTGCTTTCAATATCGATTTATTGCTCATTCCATCCAATATTGCCTTGCAGGGTCCGATCTAGTGCCCGGCATTTTGGCTTTCATCTTTTGCCTGGTGCTGCCTTTGGAAATTGGCATTATGGTCGCCATTGGGTTCAATCAACTATACATACTCTATCATTCTGCCCGGCCAAAGGTCACACTGGAAACCCTGGAAACGGAGCACGGCATCAAGTTTGTGAAGATCACCCCTGATCGCTGTCTGATCTTCCCCTCTGTGGAGTTTGTGCGCAATCTGGTGCTGAAGTCGGGAACGAAGACAACGCTGCCTGTTGTTATCGATTGCACCTACATATATGCCGCCGATTTTACGGCCGCCAAAGTAATTTCGTCGATGGTGGATGACTTTCGACGACGCCAACAAAAGATCATATTCTTTAATTTAAAGCCCAGCGTGGTCAGCGTTTTTGAGGGACTGAACACGAAATTGGTTATATGCTACAACATGCATGCCCTCAGCCACGAGCTGTTGCCAGATGGGGATCTCACCCGCTCAGTGGACTCCCTGGAAACAGGCACCCAAGCCAGTGAGTGCATCAGCATGGCCAGCACCCTCTCCCTCGCAAAGAGCTAGGTGTCGATAAAAATGCATATTAATTTATGGTACAGATCACCTTCATTATCTAATCACGGTGCACGCGCATTTAGCACAATCGTCTCCATTGTGGTCTTTAAAAATACTGGCCGGATCAATGGCCAATCATATGGTGCTCACTTGTCAATGAAAGGCCTTAAATATTGGCATATTTTTTCGATTAGATAGTGCGGAAGGTGTCCAAAAATGTTATATAGTAGTCTTAAATGTGTGATTTAATAAATTATACGAACTTATTAGTCAAAGAGTTGAATTTCCTAAAACGGTGCATGGCAACAAATCACAGCAACAGAAAGCAACATACATACGGCATGAACATAGCAACATGCGAACAGCAACAGTCTTAATTAGCATAACAACATTGCTCTGTTAATTAAATTCAAAGCGCAACAGATCTCAGCAACACATGGAACTTACCAACATGGTGTACAAAAGATTACATATACTGTAAACTGGTAGTGTTAAGTTGCGTAGCAGCATGTTATTGCGTTCACGCTGATAAGCGTATGCTATTAACAGGTATTGTATGTACATATATTAACAGTAGCATGTTTCAGCCACACATGACTGCTTAACAGCAAACTGTTTGCAAAGTCCACCAACATAAAATAATGTCGAGCACAGCAACATGCCAGCAGCATCAGGCTGTTAAAATAACAGTGTGTACTAAAACATTTAGCAACACGATCTCATATACATGTTGCCAGCGAACCAAAATGTTGCCAAAGTGATGAATAACTCCCATTCGCATTTGCGTCAATTTCGAAACAATTTTTAATTGTTATAAGTACTTTCCACTTAGCCTAGCTTAAACAAACTGCTAATACTCATCGAGTGTTAATTCATAATACTATGCACAGCAATAATATTGCAAAATATGTCTATCCAAAATTTCGCAGATTATTGTTGTGACTGGCCAAGGTGTAAAATTTGGATTTTGTTCAACAAAATGCACAACAACAAAAAATGTGATACAATAAATAATAGAAGATTGCTTAAATGCTAATTAAATTTACGCAAAATATCGTCAATTTTGCCAAAACACTGAAGCTGTCAGTTCCATATGTGCGTGGGACTGCCCTGCCTTCCAAAACCAAGATGAATAATCGCGAAGACCTCGTGGGCCACAGCTTAGATTGCATTGGAATTTTGACAAAAGTTGGTCTTGCCAAACTTGTGAAATAAATAGGAAAATTATAACTATGTCGAGGTGGTAATGGTTCCCATTAGAGCGTCGATTTTTCGGCCAGCTTCGTCTCCAACATCGTTATATCGTATATGGCCACCAGATCCTTATTGAGACCCTCGAATACTTGCGCCACACGCGACTGTAGGTTGTAGAAGAAGAGCGGCTGCTGGCGCTGTGCAAAATCTGTCACCATAGTGGAAATCACTTTAGCTGCCGTGAAATCGGCGCCATAGATGTGCGTACAATCGATAACCACCGGCAGTGTGGACTTCACGCCTTGCTTATTGATGACTTTGCGCACAAACTCCATAGAGGGGAAGATCAGGCAGCGATCGGGCGTCAGCATCAGGTAACGCAGTCCGCTCTGAGTCTATAGAGAAAGAAACTGCTTAGACAAAGATTCTTTGGGCAAATTGTGGCTTCAACTCACCGCCAGCGTCTCAATGCGCAGCTTAGGACGTGCTGCTTGATAGAGAATAAAGACAACGTTGATGCCGATGCCTACGAGAATGCCCAGCTGCAGCGGCAGGACCAGGCAGGCAAAGAAGGCGCCCAGACCAGGTATGAGATCGGTTTCTAGCAACGAAAATCAAATTGAAATTAAGCCCACAAATGACCCGCACAGTAACTCACTTTTGCTATGCCACATGGGCTTGATGACGCGATACTGCACCATAAATATGACAGCTGCTATAATGATCGCGGCGAGCGCCGCCTTCGGTATAAAGTAGAAGCAAGGTGTGAGGTAGAGCAGTGCAATGATGACTATGACACCGGTATAGAGATTCGAGAGCTGTGTGCGCACGCCGCTGGCATTCAAAATGGCACCGCGCGCCAAACCGCCATTGCTGCGCAGACCCTGCACAAAGGAATTCGCCACATTGCAAATTCCCGAGGCAATGAGCTCCTGCGTGGCATCTGTGGGCTTGCCATCAGCTAAAGGAATAAATTTCAAAAATAATAAGTTAGCGTAGAAAATTAGCCATCACGATTTGTCTTAAATTTCAAATAATTAAAAAAAATTAAAATCCGTGAACTAAAATAATAATATTAAACAGAATAATTTAAGTTAACTAGAACACTTAAAGACGGGAGGTATCTAATCAAGTAAATCAGGCATTCATAAAGAAAATAAATCCCGACCTAACCACACACCAAAATCCTTCAAGAAAGAGTTCCAAATTAAGTGAATAATAGAGTACTTGAATAGCCTGATTGTAAATATATATTTTTCTGATAAGTAAGCTGCCAAATAGTAGCATTATTCAAAGCTATAGCTAAGGCATAAATCCCAAAAAAGAGCTCCCAAAATGCACTGAATATAAATCTTGAGCTACACACAATTTTAAAATTAAATGAACAAGAAGGTCAAGAAGAAAAATTATTATTAAAAAAAAAAGGTTAACATTTCTGACCTAATCACAATTTAAAAACACATTTCGAAATCGAAGGACTAGTTGATTAAAGGATATGTGAAAACTTACCGAATGCCTGCACTACAGCCATGGTTTCAAGCAGTGCGATGAGCGGCACTACAATCAACCCGGAACCCAGTATGCTGGCCATTTCCCAAAAGCTCTGACCCTCCTGCAACAACTCCCCAGTCGTCTCGTTATACACATCTGGTGTGGAGAAGGGCGGGGGCTCGAAAGAAGGCATACCCTTGGGCACAAAACCGACTGTGCGAACCAGCTCGTTATCGGTCATGGCCAGCCAATAGCCCAGAGCTGCAGTGCCACACACCAGGAGGGCATTACGCGCCGTACCCACGGTCCAGAAGAGTCCTGTCAGCACCCGCTGGCAGGTGGATTTGCCCTCCTTGGGTCCCACGCTGCAGCTGGCCAGGGCGCGCAGGCTCAGCAGCAGGGCAATGCAGACGAGTCCGAGTATGAAGTCTGGCCAGCTAATGTTGTGTATATCATTCACTATGGATATCCAAACTTGCACAAATGTATTGCCGCTCGTCCTGATGCCCAGCAGATCCTTCATTTGCGAGCTGAAGATGATGAGCGAGACGGCGCTGGTGAAACCCGCACCCACAGGTCCCGAGACAAAGTCTATGAGAAAGCCCAACCGAAAAACGCCCATCAGTATCTCAATGAGACCACTGAGGAATGTGAGCAACGTGGCCATTTGCCAGCTGCCGCCGGCGATTTGGAATGAGAGCAGCGCCGATATGGCTGTCGGCCCAATCGGCACATCCTTGCTCGAGCCAATGAAGATGTAGATGAAGCAGCCCAGAAAACAGGCATACAATCCGTACTGCAAGTCCAGGCCAGCAATGCCGGCATAGGCCAAGGCCTGAGGTATCACCGTCAAGGCCACAGAAACGCCAGCCACAAAATCGCCCATAATATAATCCTTTTTGTATTGCGGCAGCCAGACGAATATGGGGAAGCGCTTATAGAGGGTTTTCTTGCGAAAGATATTGGCGGCGGTGCTGCGACAACATTCTGTCGTATGGTCCCACCAGCTGCGCGATTGTGTCTCGTCCTGCACGATGCAGTCGCGCGAGGTGTGATATAAGGTGTTGGTGGGTATATCCAGAGATACTTCGGAGCCAGCGTAGGCGCCGTTGGTGTGACCCGTGTCTTTGGTCATTTCTACAGATCACTCACTCACTAAATCTAAAACTTTGTTCTTTGTTGATCACTAAATACACGTATATCCTTTTTTCCACACTGAGTTATTGCATAGCTCTGGGCTAGTCGATTGTGCGCTCACTGAACCTATCGCGTTCGCGTCTCGTCTGAGAATGAAGCGCAACCAGTGGTTGTCGTCGCTCTAAAACCACTGACGACGACAGACAGACCCAGTCGTATGCGGGTCGAGATATGCCAAGCCGATTATAATGGCGATGACGTGTGAGAGTCTCGTGCCAACTATTCGCTTCGAGATGTTGCGCACAAAACCGGCTATATAGTATTCGTAGAAGAAATGTAAACATAATTCTGCAGCTTGTTTGTGGGATTTTTGTTTGTTCACGACTTACCCAGGGGGGGTCACACATGTTCTCCACACTGGCTTGGAAAAGCGCAACACGTGCTGCGCTCACTCGACCGCAGAATTACAGAGTCGCTTTGATTAACTGCCAGACACCATGCTTGCATCGCACTATAATGCTAATCAAGTCACTATTCTTAGCAAACTGCACGATCAGACTTTTCCCAGTCGACTTGCCGCCCCACAACAAATGTGATCAGCCCGGCTGCTTAAAGACACTCATTTGTATAATTATGCGGTTCGGATTATGGGATGCCAAGTTTCCAGGTATTCGAATTACTTGTAACATCGCCACAATTGGCTTCTTATAAATAAATTGTTTAGCCAGCATCCACTGTAGCCAGTCTCGAAACGTTTAAAGTGCTCGACTATTACATCAGCTTTAAAGGCAGTGTGAGGAATTTTAAATTAAACTGTTCCAGTTCAAAGTTCGCAGATATATCGCCCACTATATACCAATAAGCAAACAAGTTTATTAACAATTTTCAAAACGAGACAGCTTTGCAGCTGAAAGAGCAAACAAATTGAAGAGCTGCGGTCAACTTTTCAATTCGAATATGATGGGCAGAGGCAGGAGAAAGCTATTTGGCAGCAAATTGTTGCTTAAATCGGCAGCTTCTTCTTCACCTTCAACACACTCTTCATTAGCTTTGACAGGTTGCTCTTATGGTTTCGATTAATTAAAAAGAAACCAGTATCATTTTTGTCCATTTTAAAGAATACTTTGAAGGTAATCTGTAAGTTTAGAAAATCATATACTTGTATGTTACCATAAATATTTGTTCTGCTTTTTAACGAGCAAAATTGTAACTTCACCGAACAAAACTATCTATACTGGTCATTAAACTTAAAATATACGTTATTGATTTATTTTATTTATACCACTAAAAAAGTGTAAAAAGGCATTCAAATAAAATCCTATAGGAAAAGATTTTGCACACAAATTCAACAGATTTTGCAAGTACGCAATGGAAAATAAAGCGTAAATAATTTGATGGCAGCCCATTTATTTACTTCATTACATATTTTTGTAATTTGGAAAATGTTTATGAACAGTTTTTGCCTTTCTGAGCAACTTTCCCATCTTTTAAGAGAAATAGACAATTGGCCTACATGAATGATTATAACGCTACTGCAATTTATTATATAAAAAGAAACCCATATTAGCGGAGTATACAAAACAAAATATCAGTTTTAAGAGTACAATAAATTTAGTTTCTACATTAATGGTTTAATCTAACAGATCCACTGGTGATGTTCTCTTGAGGCGGCCAGGCCAGTCTGGTGTTGTGAGTTCTGAACTTCTCACTGCATCGACCGATGTGCCTTAGTTAGTTAGATTTGCTGTATTATTGCAGACCCTTAAGTGCTTAGATCTAAGTATATAGAATAAAAACGTGAAATACAAGTAATTTGTAATCAAGTAATCAATTTCATTTCCTTAAGTCCGATCTTGCTAATATAAAATTAAAATTTAAAGAATAAAATAAAGATCGAAACGAATTACAATTGCATTTCTAAGGTGGTTTCAAAAATGTTGTCGCCATGGATTCTACGAATAACTTTTTTTGGTCAATACCTTGTACAAGTATATGCACATCGAAGGCCATATTTGACACAATACTTTGTTTTATTCAATTGAAATGCCTTTCAAACTTATTATGCCTAAGTGACGTAATAAATTAATTCATTTTCTCTCACTTTATACATATTTTCTTTAAAATCCCGTTGCTATTCAGGTTGTTGATTAATACATCTGCAATAACGTAGGAAGCTTCAATATGTTGACAAACTTGAAGGTTTATTAAAATCCATATGTTTGTGAAATAAATTGAAAATATAAGAAGCTAAATGTAATTAACGTATTTTGTTAGGAAATTTTGAACGAAAAAACTACTGCAGGCGATCAAATTCAAGAAAACTGATAAAAAATTGTAAAAAAAAAAAGTAAACTATTAGAAAAGACATGGCATCTTGTGGCTTCCAGCCCACCCTTTAGGGAGGTTCAAAAATTACTGAATAATTATCTCAGCCTGTCCAACACTTCAGACTAAATTAATAATACAATTCAATCCATATTCGTCATTCCGACAAAACGGGCAAATTTCCTAGAACTGTCCGAATCAATTCCCCCACATTAGGGACACTTGAACCGCCGGGCTTTGTCGGTGAATCAGCGGAATCAATGGATGGTCTCGTCGAGGGCTTCTCCAAACTAACTGCAGTTAGTGGACAGACCTGTCAGACGCTTATATATCACTCGGCCAGTTCATATCTGCACGTGAAGTCAAACGATTCCCTAATCAACAACAATCAACAACAATCAACAACAATCAACAACAAACCCAAAAAATAGTCATCATTATAAATCAGTCTCAAGTGCGGTTGTAAATCTATTAAATGTTATCGATGAAATATTTTAAATATAGCTTTGAAATGTTTCCAATAATACTAAGTAAACATCTAGCGAAAGGCATGCCATTTCTTTTTAGCCAACTAGCGATCATTATGTAAGTAGCCCGCTCTATTTCTAATTACCCATTCGCGTAGAGCTGACAAAACCGGTTACTCAGTCTGTCACATCGCATGAAATACTATAAATCAAATGGCCATTAGGTGTGCCCACAAACTTATTGCACACATTTTTTGTAAACTATCTTTAAATGTTAATTGTTAGATAGTTAATAACAACGTTGCTGAAATTCCTTACTCTCGCCTTGACACCACACGCCGATAATGGAAAGTTCGCAGCTCAGCATCTCAGCATCTCAGCAGACGAACACACACATTTTTTGTTTCCTACACACACATTTTTTGTTTTTATCTCGACATGTGACTTTAAAGTGTTTGCGTGGATTCTTTTCGCAACGGGGATTTCTTTTGTCCACAATATCTTATTTTATTTTAATTATTGTTTTTTTTTTTGTGCCCAAAAACTTAATGAGATCTTTACATGTGCATACATACATCTATATACAAGGTGACCGTTTTGAGGATTTTTTAACAACTTATAAAACCAGTTGAATTCCGTTATTGCAAGTAAGCAAGTAAGTAGTTTAAGAAACAATAAAGAAATCATTTTTATTTAAATAATACAAGACATTTTTATTACTCAAATAAAATGTATCTTTACGCTTTACGTGTTTCAGTTTTCTTGTGAGCTAGAACTTAATAACGAGTGTACCCTTTAGCCGAAGGATACAAAAATATACAAATGTATTGCAAATATGAAACAAAAGAGGAAGTATATTTTATCTTTACACAGTGTGGCAAGAAGAGTGATTAAAGCCATGTCCGACTGGATATCAGAAGTGTAACTAGGTATGAGAAAGGACACGCTTGTGTTTTTTCTGCCTCGCACACTATTGGGAATTTTTCCATAACTGTCTTAACTCTTAGAGGCTTGACAAAAACAACTGATTAATGTTGATTATATGTGTCCAATTAAAGCCATAAATCTTTTATAGCCACTGCTAATGATATGCCAGTAGCTATTGTTGAGTTTCCTGCTTTGGCTCAACACACATATTAATTTTATAATATATAATATAATTTTATTCTAGACGTCGATTTACCTTTATGAGTACCTTTAATTTCTTATCAGTTAGTGTCGTCGACCGAAATTCCCCAGCTATTTGGGCTCCGTAGCTTTAAAGCGGTTTCTTTTATAATGCAATCGACAACTTATTGGGTTAGTTTGATATTTTTTAATTATTTAACATGAATAATTTATACCTTATAAAAGCATAAATTCGTTTATTTATTTCATTTATATTACATATCGAAGTGTCTTAAGAATTGGGGAAAACTTCACTGTCCATGTCATAAAACCAATTGTTTTAAGCCTCGTCGAATAAAAAAATTTACGATTGTTAATTTAACAATTTTCAAATCCATTTTGTATAATAAATAATATAAAATAAACAAAGACGTATATTTTATTGAGCTCTAATTTCATTTGATGGTACAATATACTCGTACAACGCATACCGATATCAGTAATAAGTAATATCAATTGAAATAAAAGCTGTGGCTAACTTATGGCCATAAGGAAAAATGGTTCCAGTAAAGGTTTCAATTAATGCTGAATTCATCTTAGTAGAAAATATCTGCTCTGCGGGGAACAACTGACCTGGTATTGGTCACCCTATTTTTTTTAAAGTTTATTCCAAAAGTAAACTCAAAATATTCCATAATTGTTAAACAGTTCGAGCAGCAATGACACGACTTTTTCAACTGTTGCGATTGGGAGATGATGTCGTCCGGCCCAATTATAATAACATTTGCGAATTCGCGGAGCGAAGTTTGAACCCTTCATTATGGGCGTATGTACGAGTATGTATGTTCAGCGGTCGATGCTACTACCCACATACATATGTATATGACAATACATAAGACAAACACTGTAATTTCGCCAAGTCAGTCTTTGTCTCCGAGCAAGCTGACAATCAATCAAAAGGGGGAAAAAATGAAAGAAAACAAAAACAAAAAACCCCGAATATCCAAGTTTGGAATGTTTTGGAATACTATGTCTTCTTTCAAATGTGAAACACGCGTCTGGCGGCTGATCGGCTGGCAATATGAGAAGGGCTCAGAACGCAAATGGAATGAAATCGGCATAGATAATAACAAGCGATTTTCATAAATCGTGAGCTTGTGGTTGTTTTTTTTCAAGCAACATGACCGCAAAATAAAGCTAGCCGGATGCTGGCATAATAAGCGATACGAGCAAAGTTACTTTCAGGCGTTTAAATAAATATTTCTATTTGAATTATGCGCCATTAA